TGTAAAATGAGGCCGATAGCTCCTTTACTCACAGAGTGGTGGCAAGGGTTGAAAGGAATAGTTGATGCAGACAGCTTAGTGCACAGGTTGTATAAGTAGCAAGCTCTCCCAGTGTGTTAGCTATCCTGATGGTTATTGTCATCTTCACCACACCTCCCTTTGTCATTCACGCTGGTTCCCATTCCTGTCCCTCCCTTAAAGTTCCCAAAGTACCTCAAGTCTGCCCACCAGGGGGCCCCACATGCCATTCTTCCTGCCTGACTGGTGCTGGCAGCCAGTTCCCAGAACTCAACCCTTCCCTTTTGCCTCTATGACAGCTCTATCACCTCTCCACACCCCTGCGCCTGATGTTCCATGTCTTTACTCCAAATATCTCATCCTAATAGCCCCAATACTTCATTCATTCTACAAATATTTATTGAGTGCCTACTCTATGCCAGGCTTTATGGCAGGTGTTGAGGTTATAAGGGGAAAGATTAAGCAAGGTGCAGTGACGCACGCCTGTTATCCCAGAGACTAGGTAGGCTGAGGCAGGAAGATTGTAAGTTCAAGACCAGCCCCACCAATTAAACAAGATACAGTCACAAGATAAAAAGGATTGCAAATATAGCTCAATGGTACAGAATCCCTGATTCAATTCCCAGTACTTAAAAAAGAGGTAGTGGAGGAGGGAAGGTAGCCTTCAAGGAGCACCTATCTATAAGGGAATGATGGAATAGAGGCAGAGGGAGTTCTGACTTGGACTTGTGGGGTGGGAATGACAAGATCAGATTGCCCTTTAGAACCAGCCCTCTTGCCTGGAAAACAGGTTTCACCTCAAGAATGATAGGCAAGCACTCTACCACTGAGATACTCTCACTCAAAATACCCTGGTTTCTCACATTATACGTTCTTACAATTCAACTGAATTTCTGAGCTCAGCTCTTCATCCCTGGTACCTCAGACTCACTTCCACACACCTCACTTCCTCACTTCCAATGCTTCAACTCACACCCCACATAGCCTCAGCCTCTCACTCCAAAATCTCAGTTCCCTTTGTCCAAGTCTTCAGGAGCTGCATTCCTCACCTCAAATACTTCAGCTCCTCCTCTAAGACATGCCGGTCATTGATTTAATCTGTAGTTCTTAGTACTTTTTCCCCTCTTAGGAAAAGGATGGGGAAGTACTCCCACAATGGACAGTGACTTGTTTGGGAGTGGTTCTCACTAGGGATGGAGCTATCAAGTTTTCTGTGTATGGTTGTGATTTAAAGAAGTCCATTTTCAATGCATCTTCCAGATAAGACAGGGGTATCCCTCACTCCCTCTTTGGAGATTGCGTATTTAAATGTTTTTATTTTTCTTTCTCACTCTTTCCTATCCCCATGATCACATCTCTAGTTTCAAATGCCTTATCACTAATATTTCAGAGTTTCATGGAGAGAGGTCATGATTTTATCACCTGTAATTCTCCAAAACTAGTCATAGAATCTTAAAGTTGGAGAGGTTCTCAGAAGCCACTAGTTCAGTGGATTTCAAAATTCTTTTTAGACAATGATTTTTCATCTTCAACCAAATATTATATGAAACCCTAGTAGATATGCTGGGCAGCAACTGGAGCATAGCCACATAAGCCCTGGGATTCTATGCAATGTGGATTGAAAACCCCTCATGGACTCAAGACTGAATTCCCTTCAAACTGATTTTATAAAATCTCCCAACAAGTGGGTAACTGTTTTCTAATGGCATTATTCCCCCTAGCTTTAAATACCACACTTTGAACTGCTCCATTTTTTTGAGGAGGAGGAGGAGGAGGAGGAGGAGAGAGAGAGAGACAGAGAGAATTTTTTTTTAATATTTATTTTTCAGTTTTCGGTGGACACAACATCTTTATTTTATTTTATGTGGTGCTGAGGATCGAACCCAGCGCCCCCGAGCATGCCAGGTGAGCGCGTTACCGCTTGAGCCACATCTCCAGCCCTAAACTGCTCCATTTTTATTAGATCTGAAGAGTAAGTACCTTCATACTCTAAAATTGCATTCTAAACTTAGAGAGGGAAGGCTCTCATTCAGAAAAAAATGGCATAATTTTGGGGGGGCTTCAAAGGTCAGAATGAGGAAGGGTCCCAGGGTCCCACCAGTGGGGTATCTCTGGTGATATTCAGGGCATCAATTTTCTGTAGTATTCCCTGTTCCTGGAGCGCTTGCCACAGCTTGATTGCTGGTGCTGCCCAGGGGACTGGCTGCAACCAGAAGAGCACAGCTTGAGGACCCCATGAGGTTGCCATAGATACTGATACGCAGGGATCTGGTGAGCTTGTTATTATTTGTGTGTATCTTCCCTCTAATTGCTGGAGGTTCTGTGGGTGTTACAATAGGTATCAAGAAGGGTGTGTGTGTGCACACACAGAGGAGTCTGTAGGCTCCAAAGTGCCACATGGACACGTCAATGTGTGCTGTTGAGAAAGTAGTGAGGGAGGGAGGGGGAAGTGAGGTAGAGATAGAAAGGAAAAAAGAGAATGGGTTGATTTCCTTCTAATTTTGTAAATTCTAAATTTCCACTTTATTTGTTTTTTTCCAAAAGTAAAGGGCAGCACCAAGGACATGGTAGATAGTCGATGAATATTTGTTGAAAGGCAGCTAGTTATAGTAATGTGAGTTATTCCCAAGTTTTCACCCCAATATTGTTCTTATCACTTTTTCTTTTACCCAGGGACTTGATGTAAAGTTCTTTTTATGGTTACCCTGAAATAGCCAGTGTAGAGCCCTCACCCTCATTGGAGATGATTTACCTCTCCTGGCAGGCACAGGAGATTGGCTAGTTATAGTCCTCTTTTTACATTTCCCCCTGGGATACTCTTAGGGGACTCCATGACAGCCCTAGTCTGTACTCGTTCTGACCTCTCTCCACCTTACATGAATGAATATAAAGTTTCAAGTATCAGCGTCTGGAAGTCAGGAACCAAGTCGCCTTGAGTACCGGGAAGGGCACATTGATGATCAACTGATATGCAGACTCCATTTCTGGAACACAGGCTAGCAGTTACTTTTACCTTGAAGGTGGATGACAGAAACTCAAGGCTTACTGGCATCTCCATGTTCACATTCTCATTGCCCTGCCCACGCTGGGACTTGGGACCTGGCTCTCACCCTGGTGCTTTGAGGTAGGAAGTGGCCTTACCCCCACCGCTTTACTTCCTGTTGCCCTGGGGATGGGTGGGGCATAATGCTCTTCACCTCTAGCCTTTCCTTGGTCCTTTATGCCCTCCTTCCAGGCAATAAATTAATGCTTTTACTCTTGGACTCCATTCCCTTCGATTCCCTAATCATCCCAACTGGGCAGTCTTGTTCTCAGAGCAACTCCTTGGGCTGTTGGGTAAGGAAAGGAGGGAAGTACTCCCTGAGAGCTTTGCTGCACCCAACCCTCCCCCAGGCTGCTTGGGAGGCTGGGACACCTCTCAATTGTCTCCCCTGTTTGCTGACAATAGACACAGGACTCCCCTGTGGGCTTCCTACTGTAATCAAGTCTAAGCTGCAGCAGTTGGCTGAACTCCATCCTGCCCAGTTGGGGCTGGCCTCTGACTTGGGGTACAGCTGCCTTAGCAGATCAGGAACCTGCCCAGCCTGTTTCTCCTCCATGGAGACAGTTATGTGCCTCTGTGCTACCAACCTGTGATGTTGGGGACTGAGGAAGGGGTGGCAACTCCCTTTACCATTACACAAATATTTACTGAGGGTCTGGGACTGAATATGCAGGGTGAACAAAAAGACAGAGGCCCTGCCCAACTGAAGCCTACAATTTAGTGAGAAGGCAAATATTAAACAAATAACAGCAAGCAGTTTTAATTAGATACCAGGTACTATTATAAGTGCTTTATGTGATTTAGCCCATTAAATGCTCACAACTCTGTGAAGATACTATTTTATTACCAATTCTCAAGGTAACTGAGGCACAGAAAGATGAAGTGACTTGCCCAAGGTCATATAGCTGGCTACTGAGTTACCCAGAAATCCAAGATAGATAGTCAGATGCCAGAGTTCATTCTATAATGTTTTAGCTCTCATACCAGAAAAACGTATCATTACAAAATATGTAAGTGCCATAAAATAAAAGTACAGGATGGCTTACAACAAAATGGAATGTTTTGTCCTTCCTTCTATTTGATCTTTTAGCCACCAAAGACACAAAGCCTGTGCAAATCATTCCCCTTTCTTCCCTTTCATTGCTGGCCTGAGAGTGCCACTTGCATCCTTTGCCTCTGGCCTGATCTCCCTGATGAAACCACTCCTGAAGGGTCCCCCACCCCCAATGATGGCAATGATACTTGCACAAGGCTAGACTGTCAGCTCCCTGAGGGAAGACTGCCGGCAGCTTCTTCTATACAGATTGTGGATGTCTCCAGAGTGTGCAGTTTGATACAGTCTTCTTGACCTTGGTCGTCTCTCCACTTGGTGAGAGCCGGGCTGGGGGTTTGGGACCCACGTGTGGAGACTCTCCCAGAAAGCTCAATGGTCCGGACCTATACACCACTTCTAATCCATCCTCGCACTAATATTTCAGAGCCCTTGCAAGGTCCGGGACTAGCTCACAGACCGCGAACCTTTCAGCTCTGTCTGCCAGCGCTGGTGGTCCGGAGCTGGGACCCCCCCACAAACATTTCTCTGACGCTCCTGGCCCAGCCCCGGCCGCTCCCGGTTCGGGCGGGGCCGGTGACGGGAGGCTCCTCCCCGGGGGCGGTCCGGGGGCCGGGCGGGGGGCGCGGGGGTGTCCCTCCCTCCCTCCCTCGCTCTCCCCGGTAAAGTCTCGCGGTGCTGCCGGGCTCAGCCCCGTCTCCTCCTCTTGCTCCCTCGGCCGGGCGGCGGTGACTGTGCACCGACGTCGGCGCGGGCTGCACCGCCGCGTCCGCCCGCCCGCCCGCCAGCCAGCATGGCCACCACCGCCACCTGCACTCGCTTCACCGACGACTACCAGCTCTTCGAGGAGCTTGGCAAGTATGGCCCGCCTGCCGCCCGCTGTCCGCCTTGGCCCCCCACCCTACCCCAGTCGCCCGGGCGCTATGCGGCTCCTCGCCCCGCCCCCCGGCCCTGCACCGGCCGCTGCAGCGCCCCCTCGATCCGCCCCACCCCCAGCCTTTCCCGCGTGCTGACTCCAGGGCCCCCAACCCTCGGCTCCTTGCCCCTCAGCACCTTCCGCGCCCTGCAGCAGCTGCTCGGGCTGCTGCAACCCGCGCTGCCGCGGGGACTGCAGCCCCCGGACCGCTCCTGGGCGCTCTCCAGCCCCGCCCCTCCTGCACCCTTCAGGCGCCCCCCCCTCCGGACCCCGCCTGCCTACAGTCCTGTCTCCACCCTGCTCAGAGATTCACTCTGCACCCTACCCTTAGGTCCCACGCGCCGGGCACTCTAGACCCTCCCTTAGCCCTGCAGCTCCAACCCCGCTGCGGTGCCCGGGTGTGGGGGGATGTTTGGTGCCCGGCCCCGCCCCCCCGCTAATGCTGCTTCCAGGATCCCAGCCCCGCAGCTGGGCAGTGCTGCAGTACCCCCAGCCCTTCCCCCCATCCCTGCAGTGGTCCCGGGAGCCGCGCGCTGCAGCCGCAGCATCCCCCTCCCCTCGGCACTGAGCTGGCCGCTGCTGCAGCCCTAACCCCCACCACCACTACCACCCGCGACGCGAAGCCCGGCCACTGCAGCCCCCGCCCTACTCGCCCCCCTAGACCTTTCCAGAGCCCGGGAATGCGAGCTCCCATTTGGCGGGGAACGTAGAGGAAAATATCATGGGGAAGGGGAGCTATTGATGTCAGACTCAGAACTGTGCCCTCTTCCCCAAAGGCTGTCAATTGAGCCGGGTTGCGGTGGGATGAAGCCGGTATGGGAGGGAAGGGTTGAGCTTCACTTTCCCCCTTGGTCGATGGAGATTTCTCTCGGAATCATACTTTTCTTTTAACCTCTCCTTCCTCTACCCTCAACTATTACTGCAGAGAGAAGGGCAGGTTCTCTTTTTCTTTTCTGGTTCTCTTGGCCAGGACTGCAGGGCTATCAGTGAGATGCAGCAGGTGTGTGTTTGAAGCATCGCCCACCAGCTCCTGATGTACAGCCTGAGGTTGGGGCTGTTGCTTTGCCCAGGGACTAGATGAGGGGGTGGGAACCAGGTGGTACTCCACCCACATCTGTTCAGTGTCATGCTGTGGCTTCATCCTTCTGCCTCATGTTGGCTGGTGGTGGTCACTGCACTGGGGTGTGTGTGTGTGTGTGTGTGTGTGTGTGTGTGTATGTATGTCTAAAGGTCTGCTGGTGAGAGCATCACTGTCCTCAGATTTAAAGTGTGTCTGTGTCACTCTGCCCTGCTCGGTGTCCCAGTTCTTTCCCCCTTCTCCCTCCAGGGGTGCTTTCTCTGTGGTCCGCAGGTGTGTGAAGAAAACCTCCACGCAGGAGTATGCAGCAAAAATCATCAACACCAAGAAGTTGTCAGCCCGAGGTGAGTGTTCTCCATCTTGGTTTCTCCCTGGGGATCCTTCCAGGGCCTTTGACTTCTGCAGGTGCCCTAGGAATTGGGGAGTATGTTTTAGCACTTAAAAATGAGTTGAAATTTCTGGTGGACTTTGAAGCTAAACAAGGAGTTGTATGAGGTATTGAAAATGCTTAGGGAGAAAAGAATGAAGAAGATGTAAGAGACATGGGTAACTGGAGTGATCCCTAAAGGCTTAAAGGAGTTTGATCCTAGGGAGTTGGAGGATCTGGGGTGGTGGGTGGCATGGAACAGAGAGCTCTTAATTTGGAGCACTGTTTAGAGTAGTGATGGCCACTGCAGGCCTATCCTAGTCCCTGTGCCCCGATGGTGACTTTGGATGGATGCAGTAAATGAGCAGCACTGACAAATCCAGCCTCCCCTACCCACCAGGCGGCAGAACAGACTCCCAAGGGAAGAAAATCTGTAAACATCAGGGGAGGCTGCTACTGGCGAGGGCTTCTCGGGAACAAATCCTGCCAGATGAACTTGATTGCTTTTTTTGATCAAATTACAAAGTTGGTAGTGCAGTAGCAGATGTAGTCTGTCCTGGATGGAGAGTGATGATGCCTCATGGTCTGGAAATCCCAGTGGCCCAGACTGGGCAGGAGTTGCCTTGCCTTGGGATGTGGGGAACATGAAGGCCCAGACCTTGGAGCCTCACTTGTGAGATCCTCCCTAGTACCTGAGGCTGGAAGGGTCAGGGCCCATCTTTAACACCTCTAACGTATGCTCTGTGAACCTCTTATTGGGTGTTTGCCAAACTTACCTCATCTGATATGTGTAGACCCAGCAATGTGTGAAACATTCTGCAAATAAGTCTGGTTAGTACAGAGAGGTCAGGTCTCTGAGGGCTGTAGAATGCAGCCCAGGGATAAAGGTTATGAGACTCAGAGAAAGGAATTAGGGCTGGGTAGTAGGATGCTGGAAATATATTAGGAACCAGTACAGATGCCCTGGGGAAGATGTGAGCTTTGGCCAATAATGATGCCAGCATCTCTGGGGCTAGAGATGTAATAGATGTCCCAAGCACTCAGAGAAGCTATAAAATTCCGCAGAGCTGACAGGGGCTTCTGTCATGTTGGCAGTTGTCCTGGGACCTGTTTAGCAGGACTGTGTTTGCCCCCTGGCTGGAGAGTCTCTCCTATCTCTACCAGCAGGACTTGTTTTGCTATTCCATCCCTGCCTCTATCTCTCACTGAGTGCATTGACTGTAAACTTGACTTGTTTATTTTCCTTCTCTCTGGGCACCTTGAGTCCAAGGCAGTGGTTGCTATAGAGATATGTGGGTGGTCAGATGCCCTCCTCCCCTAAGGTAGGGGAGATACGGGGGCTGGGCTCTCTGGCAGATATCCTTTGGCTAAGAATGGAAGATGCAGGCAGGGATACCAGGTTGAAGATATGCCCACACATAGCCCAGGTATCAGAAATGGGGATGATGTCTGGAGTCTTTAGTCAGTGATGCAGTGCTTTGGTTTCTTTATCTCAACAGTATCCCCTCACCCAAGGGTGAGGAGGGAGAGACAACTGGAAGCTGAAAATCTGGGACATAAGATAGTGATTGTGGTGACTTTATGGAGCCAGCTGCCTTGAGCTTTCATCTTCTACTCCTTCCCTACCCACCTGAACTTCCCTGTGTGATAGCATCCCTTTCCTTTCTTACCTCCTTTCCACTTTTTTCTGTCCTTCCCAACTGGTATCTTTCTTTCCCTGCCCAAACCAGATGAGGTTTAATTTCTGATTTCTTTTTTTCAACTTGAGAAGAGGATTCTTGTGTGAAATCGTATGCTTCAGACAGCAACTCCCCCTCTTTTGAGATGGTTATGCCAAGACTGAGACTCTCTTGTATACCAGGTTAACTTTGGGATAGAATCTTGTTCCCGACTGATAGACTCAAATGCCATCAAGAAGAGTTAGGAACGTGCATGCCCGTAGTGTCTGGGGGTGGGAGAATGGGAGGATGTTGTCTTGGATGTGGAGGCAGCAAGGGGCATGCTAGGCTGGTATGGGCGATATGAACCCCTGGAGCAAGTTGGGCCAAGGTCCTCACTAGGCTGCTGCTGATGGGGTTAGGAAGTGAAGGCTGTGGCTTTCCTTCAGCCTCTCAGTTTACACTGTATATTTTATAAAGGTCTGGGACTGGGTTTCACTCATCATTGTCTGTCTGTCTAGGGCTCCATAGGTGTTAGATTTCTGTGTCTGGGAATGTCATGGGTCTACCAGGGTAGCCTGTGAAAGTCTGAAGGGGCTTAATCTGTTTGCTGGGACTCCTTGCTGGATTGCTGTCTTATTTGTGATTTTCTGTGCTGCGAACTGAAAGGAGAGAAAGAGGGCATAAAGCTGCTTCTCCTTGGCACTCATGGTGAGGTGGCCCAGGAGGCCTGGGGAGAAATCACTTAGTCTTCTGGGGGTCAGATATGGATGGGAAGCCTTCTTGTGGGTTGTCATTCCTTGTCATTGTAGCCTCCAGTACCCACATTGGTGGCTGGGTTGCCAGGTAGGGAATTCACGTGGATGTTCTTTGAGCACCTTTTTGTTTGTGGGCCTCTCTATCTAGTCACTGATAGTCACATAATATCATTCCATTTGCTTTAAACCATCAATAGGTGTGGAGATGGGGCTCTCACCAGAGCCCGCGGTTCCTAGCTTGGCTCTGCTAGGCCGAAGGAGGCATTTAAATAGGTTTGGATGCAGGAGCTAGTGGGCCAGGTGATGGCAATGATAAATCGTTATTTTAAGATTTAAGAGCACCCTCCCCACGAAGGAGCCTGAGCCCTTATGTCTTTTTTATTTTTAAATCTTCATATTCCCTTCTTATCTTTATTCATATGCATACAGATTTTCACCTCGTGGAGCATAACATTTTATATCCTGTTCTCTTCACTTGTATCCAAAGCATTTTTCCCATATTGCTACAGTTGAAGGGCAAATGGTCTTTTTTTTTCTTCTGCATGCCTTAGGATTTATCCTTGGAACAGTTAGCATCATAAAAAAACTTCTATATTGGACCATTTATCTGGATTCCAGTTGCTTTCACTAAGATGGGTACTGGGAGTAATGCCCTTGGCCTTAATGAGAGATGCTACCAGAAACAGTGTTATGAAATCTGTTACCGCACTTGCTATATTTATTTATTTATTTAATCTGTAAACCCTATGTGAAGAAATTTCTATTGAAGCTACTTTGTAAGAAAAGCTCTCCTCTTTGTGAGGACCTGAGGAGGTGAGGCAAGGGATCTTATCTGTTTTGTAATTTTTGTGTAGATGAGCACTAGCAAAGTGACTGATACACACTCAGTATACATGTAAATGAATGGATCAAGAAGCCTAACTAATCATGGTTACCTTTTGGCTTTGAGTCCTGGGAAACTGAAAGTCAAGTTGCTGGAGCCCTTGTTCCCTGGTGCTGGCCTGGGTTCCCCCTTTTTGATCCAGAGAACCAGTCTGCTGCTGGAGGAGAGGACAGATGAGGATAAATACCTGTGCTTGGGACAGGAGAGATGTAGGAAGTCAGTGTAGCTTATGGCTCCTCTTTTCTTCTTGTTAATGGACTTATAGGACTACTACTGGGACCGTCTCTGAGCACTGACTGTCAATGTTAGTGTGTCTAATGGTCACCTTGAGTATTGATTTAAAATGCTGCTTCCTAAGTTTTGTCCATAGAGCTTCGGCTTCAGGAGGTCTGGGGTGAGGTCCCAGAAACTGCATTTTTAACACAGGCTCCAACAAATTTCATCTAGGTAGTTCATGAGCCACTCTTTAAAAAATGCCATCCAAAATCAGCAGCAGCAGTGACAGTTGCTCTTGATACACTCCTAGGATTCACCAGCCACACCTGGGGCTAGCCTTCTCCAGGTGGTGTCTCTTCCAGTATGTGGCCAACTGTGCACATGGGCTGATCTGTGATTAGGGGCCTCATTCTGGGCCCCCAGATTGGGATGTCAGTCTGCATCTGAGGCTGTAGCAGGTTGAGTAATTGGTGTTGTGGCATGTTGGCCACCAGAAGGGTAAAGGCTGTCCCTTTCTGGGTCCAGCTGGCCCTGGGGACTGAAATGGGATCCCCTTGGATGGTGCCAGCTGGAAGTCCCCACCCCCTTGGTGTTGGCCTGAGTAGCCCCCATGACATTTGTGTCCCCTGTGGTATCTCCAAGTGATACTTTCCTGTTAAGGATCTGGATGAAATGAGGGGAAGAGGAGGGAGGGTGATGTGGCAATGGAAGGAGGGGAAGAAGGAGGAGGAGGCTTTGTGCTATACTGGAATACCAGGACTCGAGGAAGCATTGAGAGATTGTGTGCAAAACCATGTCTTCTTATTGAGGATAAAATAGGCTGGTTTCTGTTAACAGAGAAATAGCATCCTTCATATAAGTGAACTTCTCTGACTTCCCTCGTACCTGCCATGGATGAGAGTGCAAGCTAGAGGTCCCTTCTCTGTGCCAAACCTTCTGCTGGGCCATTTTCATTGTACAGTCATGATTTAGTAATACAGCCTGTCACCCTGCCCTCCTACCCACCTCCTCAGTGGGACTTGGGATGCTGTATCGGGGTGGAGATGGAGGTTGGAAAGCAGGCCCTATCCCATAGGCAAGGCTCTTGCTTTTCTTCCTGTTGTTTGCTTTCGTCCCTTGTCATCATACCCTCTTCAGAAGCCGTGCTGAAACCCTAGAGGTGAGTGGCTGACCCCATTCTCTGCTGAGGCTGGAGACAGGGAAGGGGGGGGGGTTGGGACCAGCTCTTGCCACCATCTCTGTGCTTGCTGCTTTCTGAACAGCTTTGGCAGGCTGACTAGGGCCTGATCCCATGGGTGCCAAAAGGGTGGTGACAGGAAGAGATGGACACTTCGCACCTCTTGAGTGCCTCTCTGCAGAGGCCCTTTGTCACCTACTCATGGCCAGACAGCTCTGTCCTGGGACCATTGGGGAAACCAAGGCATAAAAGACTTGTTTGGGGTTTATGTTAGGTTTTGTTTTT